GCAGAAATGAAAAGGGTAATTCATAGCAGAAATGAAAGTTTAAATATATATCTTGTAATTCGATGTTTTCTAATATGTGTTCTTTGGTTTCTCTAATTTTGTTTTCAATCTCTAGATTCATTAATGAATCTCCAATCTCTTCAATTTCCATTGATTCTTGTGAATCTGGAAAATTTGGTTCTTCGTCAGCCATGTGAAAGATCTCTGAAAATTTCAAAGTGAAAAATTGAATTGTGAGAAAAATCGAAGTGTGAGAAATTTGAGAAAAATTCTGGAAAAAAGTTGAGCAAAATCGAAGTGTGAGAAAGTTAAGAAAAATCGACTGATTATTGTAGGTTATTGGGAAGTGTGTGGCGTGCGTCAGCCGCTTTTTTTGTTAAGAATTGATTGCCCGGTTTTTTGTAAAGTTTTGGAGAATCCCGTTATTTTTGTCAGCTACCGTTATTTTGCTGAGTTGGCGTCAGGCCTTACGATGCGGCTGGGGTGTAATACCCCGTATTTTTTGAAAGGTATTTTCTAAATTAAAGAGTATTTAATCTCGTATTTTCTAACTTAAGAGTATTTCAGTTTTGGAGCCAAAATGATATTTGAATTTTGGCGCCTAAATCATTTATTTTAATTAAATGGATAAACTAAACATTTTATAAATAGTATTTTGATTAAATAAATAATAAACCAAAACTATATTAATTAATAAAATTAGAGGTATTTTCGGATTTAAAAATCTGATTTTTGTAAATAGAATTTTCGGATTTTTCCAATAAAATCCAATTTTACTTAATATCTTGCTAAACTAATTATTTTCATGAAATAAAATTAATTTCCTAAAACTAAATAAATATCATTTTCGAATGTTACAATTAAAAATCTGATTTTTACTCTAAGTAAAGTATCTTCATAAAATAAAATTAATTCCTACACTAATGAAGTATTATTTTCGGATTTTATACACTAAAAATCCGATTTGTTTTCTTAATTATTTGCTAAGTTAATTATTTTTATGAAATAAAATGATTTCCTAAATTAATCAAATAGTATTTTAGATTTTATATAATAAAAATCTAATTTTATTAATTATTATAGACCAAATTTTCGGCTACCCTAATTATTTAGTAAGAAAATTGATTTTATTCTTTCTAATATTTATAAACTTATTGAATCTTTAATTTTAGTCAAATAAATTATTTTACAAAATCCCCAAACTAACATAAGAGGTCCGAAAATATTGAGCAATATTTAGCTCAATATTTTCGGCCACTCATGATTTTTCTATAAGATTTTCAAAATTTTTTTATTAAAAATAAAATCCTTTAAATTCCCTTACTTCTATTCTTAAATCTAAAATTATTTGATTCTATGTCATACTTGCACTCCAAGCTTAAAACCTACCAAATAGAATTTCATGATCAAATAAAATATTATAGCCTTCTATATATTTAAAACCCTAATTTCTATTCTTCAAAACTTCCATAAATTATAAACCCTAAATTGCTATAAACTCATCACCTAAACACCTATAAATACCCCCTCATACCTCTCATATTCTTCACACCAAAAACTCAATTCCCTTCTTTTCTTTTACTCTTCTTTTCCCTCAAACTTTTCCTATTTTTCTTTTCCTCTTTTCTAAAAGAAAATCTGCCCGTATATCTTTGAAGCCAATTTTAGGGAACCTATGGTCCGTTTTTGAATTTTTCTATTTCACAGAAAATTATTCCTCTCAAAAAATCCTTGAGGTTAGGCTCACGAATCACCCAATTCGGAGTTATATCAAAGGAGTTATGACCTCTTCAAGTTCTGCCTATCCTTTCCAACGCAAATTCAATTTCCTTTAATCCTATTCCTTTATTTTCTTCGTGGTTAGTTTTCTAAAATATAATTACCTATTTCACAGTTATAATTTTATATTAAAGTATTATTTTTAAAAGAGTTTTATAGTCCATGCACATTAGATTTAGGTTTATGTCTAAAGATGTTGTGATAACCGTATGGTTATGTTAATTGCAAGGTGTATTCGTGATTGAACTATGTTAATTGCAAGGTGTATTCGTGATTGAACTTTGAAAGTGCGAAGAGAAGACTATGGACTTTGCATGACCTACTCTTTCCTCAAGATTGGCCTTTGTTCATAAAGTAAACGGGTGTACACACTTAGTGAGGAAATGGTTTTGAAACGTAATCGATTGAGTTTTAAACTTGTCTTGAAAGCATTGAATTGGAAAAGCTCTTACATGAGTATGGCATTGGAATTCTTTGAATTAAACTTAAATGATTGAAATTATATTTTACTTATCTTACACATAATCTACTTAGCATAATTTGCTAATACGTGCTTTTGTTTTGGCTTTGCCCTGTTTACCATTTATGGTAAGCAGGTGAACTTTTCAGGTGGAGGTTAATTGATGCATACGGGAGTCTACGGGAATTTCACCTAGCTTAGGAAAAGTTTGACTTTGTTTTGTGTCAAAAATTATGAACAAGTTTATTTAAAGTTTTATTAATAAGAATAAAGAATTTTCCGCTGCAAAAGTATTTTTGTTTTAAAGTATAAGCCTTGCGTTATTACGCGGCGGTAATACACCCAAGTCTATCTCTATGGTATTTATACGTATTCTTCTACATATTCTGTAGAGGGAGATTTGGGGGTGTTACATGGGGGCACCAAAAACACGCTGTTTAGTTTTCATATATGAGTTTTACTAAGACATGTATTTCTTTTTTTTATTGGAAGTTATAAGTTATAACAATAAATTAATACTTCTTACTTTAACCTTGGCTATAATTGTGGTGATTATTTTTGAATTATTATTATTATTATTATTATTATTATTATTAAAATAATAATAGTAATAATAATAATAGTAATAATTGTTTTTTGAAAATAAAATAAGGAAAAGAGATATGTCATCTAAGATAGGAGTTCTATATCTATGTAGATATAAAGCGCCTATTCTAAGATGACAGTTCTCTTTTCCTTGTTTTTTTTTTATCTATTTTATACATCAAATAGAGAGCTGTTATCTTAGATAGGCAATCTATATTGTACTTTATATAGATTGCGTGTTGAGGCGATCTGTAGACTTTATAGGGCACCCCCTCAGAAGAGAGCCTCTGAAGCGATCTCTATTCCCTGTTTTAGCCAATCTCTATTCCCTATTTTGTGGTAGTGTCTGTCTTGAATCTTTCATACGAAGTATAAGGTATCATAGGTATCACTTCTTCTTACAATACCATATTATTTTAAGGGTATTTTGATTTTTACCACCTTCAAATAACCAAATAATTGAATTTACCACCTCCAAAAAAAAAAGATTTACTTTACCACCTCATAAAAAAATTAAACATCAGTTTTACCACCAATCACCTCCAACTAACGGATTCCGTCCAAAAATCCGTTAGTGGGGCCTACCTTGCACACGTGTCACCATATTATTGGGTAAGCTTTAGAAAAAAAATTAAAAAAAACAAAAAAAAAATTAAAAAACCTCATCCATCAATTGGTGGCTGCTGCCACCGTCGAGACCCCACCACCGGACCGACTACGACCAGCCCCACCACCTGACCGCTACGACCAGCCCCCACCACCTAACCGCTACCAGCCACCGTCGGGACCCACAGCCACCACACCGATTTCGACCTCAAAACCCTAGCCACCACCTAACAGCTACGACCAACCCCACCACCTAACCGCTACCACCGCACCGCACACCACAGCCACGCCGATTTCGACCCCCTTTCCACCAATTTCCGACCTCAAAACCCTAGTCAACACCTAATAGCTACGACCAACCCACCACCTAACCGCTACCACCGCACCGCACACCACAGCCGCGCCAATTTCGACCCCCTTTCCACCAATTTCCGACCTCAAAACCCTAGTCAACACCTAATAGCTACGACCAACCCACCACCTAATCGCTACCACCGCACCGCACACCACAGCCGCACCGATTTCTACCCCTTTCCACCAAATTCCGACCTCAAAACCCTAGCCACCACCTAACAACTACGACCAACCCCACCACCATCCAAACCCAGACCAGAAACAACCGCCACCCAGACGCGAAACCACCCCGACTCAAAACCACCACCACCCACCAGAAACCACGCCAGCCAGACGCGAAACCATCGCGACTCGAAACCACCACCACCCAGACGCGAAACCCACACGAAATTCCGACCAACCGAGGTAGTTGATTTCGTTGCTGGTTGGTTGACATGGAAGATCGGGGAAGATGAAGAAGAAACGTCAAAAATGTGGGCCCTACTAACGGATTCATGGACGGAATCTGGTAGTTGGTGGTAAAATCGATTTTTTGGAAATTTTGGTGGTGGTAAAGTAAATCTTTTTTTTTGGAGGTGGTAAATTCAATTATTTGGTTATTTGAAGGTGGTAAAAATCAAAATACCCTTATTTTAATGATAAACAATATGATCGGTTCATTTTTTCACATTATAAAATAGACATAGTTAGTCTCGTAATGACTATAATGCAAACATAATTCACAAATTGGAATATACACCCAAAAAAAAAAAAAAAAAAAAAAATTATTATAACACCACAAAAAAAATACCAAAAATTTATTTTACTTCCACCTAACGGAATTGGGCCTAAAAGACACATGTCAAATGTCTGGTGGTTTAAATAAATAAAAGAAAAAAAATAAAACCCTAACAAAAATCGATCGACTGTATACAAACTCGAACACTGAAAACACTTGATCATCTAAATTGTAAAATAATTATGCGGAAAACACCTGCTTTGTATTGAGGCTCTTGGCCAAATATATAGAGCACAATAATAATAGAGATAAATAAGTAGAGAATCCAAGCTATGATCAAATCTTAACACATCTCTATCTTATGACAGCTAATATATCTCAATAATATCTTAACATAAATCGACTTTATACAAACTCGAACACTGAAAATCTTTAAAATAACAAAGAAGCCAAAGAAACAAAAACGAGAAAGTAAGATTGCAATTGCACATAGAGTATATGGAGTCGGGCGAAGGGCAAGATCGATTGAGCTCACTTCCAGACGATATCCTCACCGAAATCCTCTCTCGCCTTCCAATCAATTCAGCAGTCACCACCTCCGTCTTATCCCATCGATGGCGCCACCTCTGGACTGCCATCACTCGCCTTCAGATTGAATTCCACGCTTTTAGAATACCCAAATTCAGTTGCATCCTACGACACCTTACTTCCCCGAAACTCGACATATTCAAAGTTGAGGTCTCACGAAGAATCTACCGGCATGAAGCAGAAGACGATTATGGATTAGAATCATGTATTCGTGAAATTTGCCGTCGAAACGTGCAACAAGTCATTAGCAATGTATTATTTCCGATACCTGATTGCTTGCTTAATTGTCGATCTCTTGTGATTTTGGATTTGTTTGGTCCGTTTGCAAGGACGAATGATGCATATAAAGATGTTGATATTCAACTTCCGAATTTGAAGAAGCTTTCGTTACGATTTCTTACTTATGTACCTCATTGGTTAGGGTCTTTACATAAATGTTCTCCATTATTAGAAGATTTAACTCTCACGTCTTCCGTACTCTTTATGCAGTCTCTAAATACAATGCCCTCGATGAACATAATTTTCCCGAATTTAAAGTCATTGGAATTAGGGTTGTTCCATTATAATGTAAAGCAAACGCCGGGTATCAATTCGATAATTTCTATCGATGCACCAAAATTGGCAAACCTTGTAACACATGGTTGCGTTTTACCTTATGGATTTCGCACTAATCCAACAGCATTAGTCAAAGCGTGTATCGACTTGAGGAAGTATGAATTGAGACATGAAGACCATGAGGTGGAGCTTCATCGGTTTTCCGAATTTTTCAAAAGAACGTCTAGTGTTGTTAACCTTGAGCTAGTGGTGATGATGGAATGGCAAAGGAATATATTCACTTACTTGAATGTGAATCCGCCCGTCATGTTTTTTAATTTAGTCCGTCTTAAAGTGACCTTGTGTGGGTTTAGTCTTAATGATTGCAATGATTTTTTGGTTTCACTGCAATGCTTCCCCAGCTTAGAGCATCTTTGGGTGATGGTAAGTCGTAGCCAAAAAGAGCACACAAATTGGTGTGCACCAAATGTTGTACCAAGTTGTCTAATAAGTAAGCTCAAGATGATATCGATAACGATAACGGGACTTGGTAGGAAATATTGTTGGCTCAAGTTTCTAAGGTACATTCTAGGTAATGCAAAAGTTTTGCAAAACTTAAATGTTTGCTTGGTTAATAATTTGCCTGAACGAGTAGAGCGGAAGTTCTGTAGGTCCTTGTTTAAGCTTCCAAGGAGCTCATTGACTTGCGAGGTTGTGTTTTTGGGTAGGTTTATTACATTATCAAGTAATGTTTTCAAAATCGGAAAGCATGTCAATTGTAGGCCATGGTTGATTGACATTTTTTGGTGCTACTTCTGGTCAACCAAAAGACAATTCAACATTCAAGCAAACATAGAAGATATGGCTGACTACGTACTAGTCGATTCCAATTTAATTGCTCCATTCTAATATGATGTACACATATAGTTTTATTCCTTTGATATGTATGTGTGCATATCCCTTATTCCTTTGATTAATTAATTTCATCAATAGAATGATAGATTATAGACCAAATGCCTTATTTTCTCTTATTTTATTTTTTTTCTTTTTTTTTTTTTTTTGAAAGGAAAGGAATATTATTTTAATGTACTTTTTAAAATGAATTTTAATTGAGTAAAAAATATTATAATTATAATTATAAGATATATATTAGAAACTAATTTTGTGCCCCGTACGATGCTCGAGTTGTTTATCGAAATTTAAAATAAAGTTTTTTAGCTAAAATATGCGAAATATATGTTATTGAATTTACTACTCATGGGTTAATAGTCACTTGACAATCATACTTATCCATTTATGGGTATTTCATAGATTGATAATCACTTAACAATCTATATAAAAAAATTCTGTCAAAAAAAAAAAAAAAGAAAAAAAAAAAAAGAACGTACAATTGTCTAAAGTTGTGATCTCTTTTCATTTTCTCTGAACATCTGGTTGCATGTTAAGACTTAAGAAAACAGTTATATATAATAATAGGTCTCTTTGATTTTTTTATTTCCTTTTGACCTCTTTGGATCCGCCATTTTGTATAATATTAGTATTTTATTATAAATCAAAGTTTTATTTAAAATAAAACTCTAAAATAACATTTTCATCCTACTAAATCTATTCAAAATTTTATTGAAAATAAAACTCTAAAATAACTTTTTTATCATATTTTACAAAAATATATATTTAAAAATAAATCCTACGTATCATATTAATTATCGCCTACATGGCGCGACACTTGGCGAATAATTGGAATGCCCAATGTCGCTGTCTGATGACCTGTCTAAAAGTTTAGTTTTATATATTAATTATATTATATGATATGATATTGAAAGTTTATCACAAATAAAACTCAAAAAAAAAAATTATCCTTAAAATTTATCGTTATTCACTTTACTTAAGACAATCTTAGAAGCGCACGACACCTTTTACCTCCTACTCTCTCCCATTTTAAATGCCTCATTTTCCGAGAACAACTGTGTTTTTTAAGTAATTCTATAAAGAAACAACTAAATTATTGATAAAATTAAAAAATCGAAATTGTATAGACTACACTTTTGCAATTGATAACATACATATAAAGGTGGTTTTTTTCTGTTTAAAGGGTTTACCATTTTTATAATTGTATATAGGTTAAGATAAAGTTTATGTTAAAGTAAGTATCTAGATTTCCCCCAGGTAAAAAAAAAAAGTAACCACGTAGTTTTTTTTTTTTTTTTTTTTTTTAACTATCTAGATTTCCCCTTAAAAAAAAAAAAAAATGTAACCACCCAGATTTTTTTTTTACAAAAAAAAAAAAAAAAAAAAAAAAACAGTTTAAGAAGATATTGTGAAGGGAGAATAAATAGGAGCGAGTTTTGGTAAATATAAAAAAATAAAAAAATATTTTATTATAAAAACCATTTTTTTTTTATTAGTTACCCATACTGGTTTTGGTTTTTGACTTTAGTTTTGTTTGTTTGGCATTTTTTTTTAATAAATTATTTAGCAAGTAAAATTTATCAAGCAAAACCTCTCTTCCCTTTTATAATTTAATGTGACATTAGATTTTTTTTTGAAATATATTTTGTTTCTAATTCTAAGAACTATCCATGGCTAAAAAATAGATTTCTTCATTCCTAAGATATGGCTTTATTTTTTTGTAGAAATATAATTATTTATTTCATTGTATAAAATATAATAATTATTTTTCGTATAATATAGAAGATAAATGTTCTATTACAAAAAAAAAATAGCAATTTTAAGCTCTTTTCTCCTAAATAAAAAAATAGAAAAAAAAAGAAGAAAAAAAACTTTTTTTTCAGTCGCTCTGAAAGCTAGGTTTCTAGGGTTTCGGTGTGCGAGTAGGCTTCTCTTGCTCGTTCAAGGTTGATCTCCCTGATCGAAGGGAAGACATAACGGTGATTTCTTGTTGAGTATGGCAGAGGATATAACGAATAGATGGGCAAATTTGAGAATTACGGAAGATGAGGATGATATCGCGATTCTTGAATACAATAGGGAAGATGATGACATTGTGAATCTTGATCTCTCCCTTATTGGAAAGGTCCTTACTATGAGGGCGTATAACTTTGAGGCTATGCAGAGGACCCTCAGACAATCATGGGCGATCAACAGAGGGGTCATATTCCGCAAAATTGAAAATGGTCTGTTTGTGGTGCAATTCCTCCATTGGAGGGATAAGGAGAAAGTGATGGAAGGTGTTTCGGGGTTTTCTGATGTCCTGCGGGAGAGTTACAATTCCGAGACTGGAACCGAACGCCTGTACCTGCAAAACAACGGAGACTCCTGGTGGTGGGAGCTCCGCCTCCGACGGTCAAGTTAGTACTTGATTAAGGAGTAATTAATGCGGAAATTAAAGTGATTGGGTCTCTCTAGGTGAGAGTGTTTAATGTATGTAATCTGCTTTTTAGCATGCAAATCATGTAATGTCCCTTAATGAGGATTAAGGGATGTATTTATAACCTTGGGAAACGTGCCAATCCTAGGTTTAGGTTAACCTAGGGCTGATTGGGCTTCCCTTGGAAGTTGGGCCTGGGTGGCCGGTTTCTCCATTAGGCATGGAGTATGCCACGTGTCATGACATAATAGGTCCAAGGTGGACGAATAAGCGTGTGCCACGTGGCAAGCCCTGACAGTTCCAACTGGGGGACACTTGGCAGGACCTGATTGGCCCACGTGGCGCATTCTGATTGGTGGGAGCAAAATCCCCTAATCATTTGCCCCTCACAGGTGGCACGTGACTGGTCACGTGTTACCTGTGACAGGTGTCGCACTGTAACAGGCGACGGCCTGCTACAGGTGTCACTCGGCGAAAGGCCGAGAGATTCTCCCGCCCAAATTTTGAATTCAGGAAGTGACCCTTCGCCTTCTCACTTCGCCTATATAAAGGAGTGTTGACTTCAGGCATTTTCACACTTGAGAACTTTGTGAGAGAACATTCGGACCCCTGAACTTGTTCTGACATTTTGGACCTTTTCTGCCTACCGCCTGCTCTGACAAGCCGACTGCAAAGGATTTTCAGAACTTCATCAATCGTCACTCGTTCATGTAACCGTCGGTTCTCTTACTCTTAATTTTCTTTTTACTTTATCCTTTTTTTTTTAAATGGCACCACGGAAGCATACGACACGACCTAGGTTAGTGATCAGCCGGTCACCGGGGACGGCTGAATCTAGGACTAGGAGTGCCGCCTGCCCTTTTCTGGACCCATCTTTGCCCTTTATACAAAGTCCGACTGTATCTGTGTCTATGCAGAACATGATGGCCAGAACAAAAAAGACTGCCAGGATCTCAAACTCAGACGGCTCCTCCCACAGGGTGCCGATTAGTGAAACATCGGACCAGGCGCCAGATGTGGAAATGAAACAAAGCGGCTTGAAAGCCGGCTATTCTGAGGGAGGAATCAAAGTGACCCCTTCCCATTTCACAGTTGACAATTCTTCATTCTCTCCTGCTCCTTTTAAAGGAGAGGAGGCGGGCCTCTCCGGGAGAGGGGAGGAGTCGTCCTCTTCGGACTCGTCAGAGGACGATTCCGAGTCTAGCTCTTCTGGCCATGCTTCTCTGGACACAGAAAAGAAAAACAGTCGCCTGCAAGAGGCGTGGCTTTCTCACGCAGTTAAGAAGGGGGACGATTGGGCGGAGCCATCCGCCTCTTACCGAGAGCAAAATACCCCCTACTACTGCACGGTACCTCGGGGCCGGATCACGGCCATGCAAGAGAAAGTGGAGAGCTTTATCGCAAACCACACAATGGGCCCCGGCTTTTTAGTGTTTGTGCCGGATCCAGAAGACACAGTCGTCTGGCCGGCTGGTACCAGTTATGATAGCGCCTGCTTTGGCTGCTACGAGGCGGCCATCAAGGCTGGGCTGCGCTTCCCATTACATCCGGCAGTTCAGCGGATCTTGGATGGGTATGAGTTGGGGTTATGGCAGTTAGCCCCGAACTCCTGGGTCAACGTACTCGGCTATGTGGCCGGGTGCGAACTGCACGGGGTGGAGCCGAGCTTCGAGGCTTTCGCCCACATGAACTACCTTAGCCGGACCCCTAAGGCAGGCGGTACCGGCTGGTATCAATTGACGAGCCACAGGGGCTACCTCATGACGAGAGGTAAAGAAAACAAATGGAAGGACTGGCGGTGCACCTTCTTCATCATTGAGAGTTCAGACACAGAGCTGAACAAGCGCTTCAACAGGTGGAACAGAAATCCGCCCCTTCTTGCAGGCGGCCGTAGCATGCCGCCTGTTCCCCCCAAGGCTAAGAAAGAGATCCTTGATAAAGGACTCTTTAAAGTAGAGTCGAAGGTGAACTCTACTTCAGGGGTACGAGAGCAAGTACCCCTGCACTGCGTCCCGAGCTTCAAATGGCTCTACGACGAGTACTTTTTGGCCGCCTGTGGCCTCAGCAGTCGGTGCTCAAGAGGTAGTCGGCCTGTCGAATACTCTGCTGTTCCATGCATTTCTTGTTATTACTTATTAACTTTGCTATTTGTTTTTGCAGCGGACGCTATGAGCAAAATTACCGCCTCCAAGACTGCGGCGGCCATGTTGCGGGCCTCCATCATGCAACAGTCTTCAACCGACTCCCCCAACAAGGGGGCACCCTTGGTGGGCTTCGAACCTTTCACCCTCTTTTTGGAGTTGTATTTATGCATATACTGACTTTTTTCTTCTTTTTTTTTAGACGGGCGCTCCAAGAGCTTCTTCTTCCCAACAGCCGGACCCCAAGGCCCGGAGGACGACTGTTGCGAGCTCTCCTGGTTCTGCCAGGAAACATGCGGCGGCTGAGAAACAGCCGGCCACTTCTTCTAAAACTCCAGCTGGGCCGCCTAGAAGTATGAAGTTGTCCTTGTAAATTTTAGACTTGCTCCCTTTTTTACTAGGTCTAATCCGTTTGTTTATGCTTGATGCAGCCGGCCTTC